TGGTTAACCAAGTACTTGTCATCTGCGTTGCTCACTTCGGTCTATGCCTCTATGACTTGACTGCACACTGATCAGCACCAGTCGTCGGGGGTTTTCCCCTACAGTTATTGCGAAGTCAGATCGCTCAACAAAGATGACCTACCTACCTACAAGCATTCACTACTTATCTGACCAACTTAGACTTTGGACCAGCAGCTCACGTCTTTTTTTTTATTTTTTAATAAATGGTCCGATGGACCACGGATCGGATATTAAACTGATCAGAACAGATACTTCACTTGATCTTAGCCAAAAGGCCGAGATCATAACAAGAGCAGTGAAATCCAGCACCAAAGGACACAAATTGCATGCACGGCTAAGGTTGCCGATGGCACTTCACTTCCAACTCAAGATGGTCGCTCAAGATGCTCCTGAATCGCTCCAATGCTCCAATGCTCCACGCTATCCGCCAGGAAAGTCTCTCTTCCTCCCTGGCCTCTCTTCATCGGTCACCCTTCTTTCTCGCCAATCAACCCTAACCACCTGTCAATGCTCCGCTCCCTGCCGCCGGTCAACGTCAACTCCACATACCCGCCGGCCTTAACCACACCACACCTGCTGTCCTCCTCTTTGCAAGTCCAGGAAGGCAATGAGAGTTCACTCTTGATACCGATTGCAATGGACCCGCAAATGCACACCGCTTGTCACAACACAATTGAGTCCACACTTCATCACGCCAAACACGAGATGCAAGCAAACACAAGATGAAGATACTTCAGAAATCGAAAGTCTTATACAATGAAGTCGCATGTACACACACTTGGGCGGCTATGGCCACCCAATCAACCTCAAACAGGTAAGACCCTCTCTCTCTTGCTTGCTCTTCATGCTAGCTTTGGGTCTTGTATATATGTATAAATTTATACGTACATATTACGTAGTGTTCAACCTCCTGATGAGTCCGATGAAATAGTCTGTCACAGCCCTCCGTTTTGTCTCTTTTTGCGTACGGTTCACTTGGCAGTTCTCTATGACAACATCTGTACATATATAGTGTCATAGAGAACTGCCCGGCGGTGAACCGTAGTCAGAATGGGAGAAAAGGAAAAGAAATGGGACACTGTGACAGACTGTTTCGTCGGGGTCTCCCCCAATCATCAGGAGGCTGAACCCTCTGCAGTCTGCAGTCTGCGGAGTCCCCTAACCGATGATACTCAATGTGATGATCTTAACGCTAGTTGCGGTTAAGCATCACCGACTGCCCATATTTTTGTCAGTGTATGCAATATGACATTCTTATGTCCAGTTGTGCTTCATTCATATTACTCGGCGTCGATATCGAGTAGTGAGGAATGCAGAAGGAAATACCAGGAACACAATCGTCAACGATTCAAAGATCGGATTGAGGAAATGGAAGAAGTAAATTCAAGATTGCTAGTAGATGCAAGAACAAAATCATACAGGCAAGCATGTCTTTAGCTATTCTTGAACTATTGTCCTTGTTATGATTCTTATCGTTTTCCGTTGAGAGATGTAGATGTGAACAAATGAGAACATAGATCAACTATCAAGTAGCATGACGGATTGATGGATGCTACTGTGTTTATTGAACTATACTCCATAATACATGCAAACTTGCAAAGTGGATTAGTATATTCTTCCCTTTTTGTGCGTCCCCTCCCCTCCCCCCCTCCCCCCCTCCTCCCCATCCAGCTTTCCGTAAAGGTTTAGCATTGGCATTACTTAACCGGATAGAGTTTGATCTCTTAATCTTTGGATCAACAGTTCTAGGTGTGTACCGTCCATCCACCAGGCAGGGACTGCTTTCACTTTCTTCCGCATTGACTCACCTAAAGGTTCATATTACATGTACTTGGCTAATCCTGGCTTTCTCTGCTACTTCAGAGATTGGGAAAGGTTAACCTAAGCGCAATTGTTGTTGCGTTGCTGTTGTTATTGTCGTTGTTGCACATTATTATGATCAACAATGATTGACGGTTATGAATGATGATGATGATTGATGGCTTATGACATTGATGATTGACGATGATGCATGACGTTGGTGATTGATGATGATGATGATGTGTGTGTGTGTGTGTGTGTGTGTGTGTTTTACTTTGCGAGTCAAACCTCCGCGACTGTGTCATGGCATGTTGCGTCAAAACATCATGCGAGAAAAACGACCCCAGTCAAGCAGTTCCAAGATTACCCAACGAAGAACCACCACGAAACACCCTCGAAGCAAGTGGAAGAAGCCGGGTAAAATGCATATTGATCCGACGGGAACACAAGGGTGAGGAATAATTATACAATGGACATACATGTAAGATAATGGATTTGTTGTAGACTCAAAACATAGTTTTAAAATACAGGAGGGGGGCAGGGGATCATGGCAGATTAATTAAGTACACCAGACAAACAAGCGCAAACACATGCCAACCATGATTGCACCGAGAAGAAGGACTGCCGCACACACTCATTTCTTGGAAAAAAAAGGTTGGTCACAAAGTCGTTACAGACGAAGATTCTTCCACCATACCACTCACTGACTCCATCAGTCTAACTTAGAACTCCAACCCCCAAATTTCCACAAGATGGTACGTGGGCGAGGGGAAAAGGCCCCGGTATGAGCGAGCAACCCCACGACGAAACATCCACCTAAGAGTTCGATCGTCATGATAGCAATAGAAGCAAATAAGGCGGCCGCCCAGCACCGCACGGCATCATCAAGGGAGATAGGACAAGACGCATCCGCAATCAAGGGGGGGGCATAGTTCACGATCTTCCATGCAAAGAACAGAGAAGACATGCTCGACCCAAGACAACACAAAAAAGCTGCGCCCATTACAATCCAAAGCCAAAAATGATTGATCGATGATCCCTGGATGACACCCTCCTCCCCTCGTAACTCCCACCACAGCTCTGAACTACCTCGCACCGCCACCATAATGAACCACACAACGCTCCTCCCAAATCCTTGCAACGTCCACTTCTCACCGCCGCATCCCACGCCGATCACTCCTCACCATCCACCTCATGGGGAAACATCCACCTCGCAACACAAGCATCATTGATTATAGGAGCTTCAAAAGCCGTTTTCCAGAGAAACACCCCTCTCACCCACTCAGAACTCAGTTCTCATGGAGGGTAGAAGAAACAGCAGAGTAATCGTCCTCCTCTATCAGCAACACCTCTCGGGGTAGCTYTGACATCAGGCCTTGCAGACGCGCGGGGGAACACACGGGGAAGACGTATTCACGAGCAAGCCCCTACARATACAKGCCAAAGCTTYTCGGYTGTCCAGAAACGCTAGGAACGACAAAAAGGCGAAGAGGGCGATCAAAGTGACGACAATACAGTAGGCTACCCCAAGCTCGTCCATGGCGAAGTGCTGCAAAATTCAACCCTGCAAAAGCATATCGACTCGTTCCTTCGACAGCAACCATATATCCCCGGATCCAGCAACCAACCCAAACCCACACATACACGTCATACCAACACAACGAACAGTGATACATATCACAGCCAGAACAAAGCCAATTACAAGGCCAATACATGTTCGTTAAAAAACATAAGACACCTTGTGCAGGAAAGAAGGGTTGGGGAATAGAAAACAGAGAGCAAGTATCCCAATTCGGCCAAGCGGCCCCTATGATGCCGACGTATGGAAGGAGGGTGGTGGAAAGGCCCTAAAGTACTTTTCGCCGGCTTCCACCTTGCCGGCTCATCAGAGAGCAAAAACATCCTCCATTACGTTCCGAAAAGGGAATTACGAGGATCCAACCTCGGGAAGAACGAGACCAATGCACGGGGGCGAGGGGGGAGGGGTGTGGGGGGTGGGTGGTGGGAAGGAGGCGGAGCATTACCGATGTGCTCGCCATGCTTCGACAGGTGCGCCTGCAATGGACAGTACCGCTCACGAAAACAACACCCAAAAGACACCAGCAACCACGACGCCTTGAAGATGATGACTACCACGGCCAAGTATTCTGAGCTATGGGAGGCGAAGCGACAGAACTACACCCTCACGCCGGTACGAGCACCATGACGGAAGATGTGTCCGGCGAAGGGCATAGGTCGTCGCTCCGGAAAAACGGAGAGGATGAATTCCTGACTTCGTCAGGTTATTATACATCAATCAAGACGGGGAACAGGCCCTATTGCGGATTTCGCAGACCGATCCGTATCCCGCGTGTGGGTGGGTGTAAAAAAAACGCTACCCAGAGGACGGGCTCCAATGGGGCCGAGGAAAAATTTGTGGGCCGGGTATGCTTCCGTATGTTATCACTCCCCTCGTGGGGGGTACACTCTCGTTACTTCATTGGGTGCAGCCTTAAAAAAAAATATTTTTCTCGGTGGTACTCAGGGAAAGGCTTAAACCATATACAAGATATGTATATATATATATCGTCAAATAGACATCCGTACAAACGGCTGTCTGCAAATAGGTAAAAAAAAAAAAAATTCTCTCTCTCTCTCTCTCTCTCTCTCTCTCTCTCTCTATATATATATATATATATATATATATATATATATATCGTCAAATAGAACTGCCCGGTAAACCGTAGGCAGAGAGGGAGAAGAGGACAACAAACGAGGGGCTGTGACA